GGTTTCTCGATGAACTTGTGTAAGTTTGTGTTTTATAGTATTAAATGTAAGTTAGTAGAGTGTAGTGGTTTGACTTTTTGTTGTGTTGTTAAAATTTAGAAAAGTAGTTGTTTTACTCTAGTATTTTTTAAGATGTACAAGTGTTGGATACTTCACTTTTTTGGTTTAATTTGTTTGTGGCATTTGAGTTTTGTGAATGTATTTTTGTTAGTTACTGTTGTGTTGATGGCTTGAATTCTTTTTGTTGCTGAATCTGTAGCGGATCAGGAGCAAACAAAACATTCCTATCGAAAAAATTTATTTTTTGAATCGGTTATTAGGTAATAACTGATTCAAATGCCTAATCTTTTGAATCGGTTATTACCAAATAACCGATTCAAAAGCCCTTCTCTTGGAAGGGGCTTTTGAATCGGTTATTTGGTAATAACCGATTCAAAAGATTAGGCATTTGAATCGATTATTACCTAATAATCGATTCAAATACTTCTTCCCAAAAATGGTGTCATTTCTGGGAAGGAGCTTTTGCATCAGTTCTTTGGTAATAACCGATTCAAAAAGCCTCTTCCCACAATTGGCGCCATTTCTAGGGAGGGCTTTTGCATCGGTTTTAACAACCGATGCAAAAAGTAACCTGAGTATTTGCATCGCTGGCTTTTGCATCGGTTCAAAACCGATTTAAAAGAGTTAAAATAACCGATTTAAAAAGTCTTTTTTGTAGTAGTGGTGTTTCTTCATTGCTTGAATTTTATCCTAATTGTTTGAATATTTAAGAGACTAAGCCATATTTATAGGAGATCATTGTATTGCAGCAATCTACTCTTGCGGGAATAATTACAACATTGTTTTTTTATTTTGAGAACGGGTGTAAACACCTTTAGGTTTGATTACGTCAAGTGGGTTGGTTGAGATCATATTCATTTGTGAAATCAAATGTTAAGCAGAAGTAATTAAATCTTGTCTTGTGAAATCAAGACTTTGATAGAAACATAAGAGGCTAATGAAATCAAGTTCTCGAGTTATACCGAGTTTCCAAAGTCTATTTAGTTTGACGGGTTGGCAGTGAAGGCTCAAACATAGTTGTTCAAGATCTTGATGTAGGTATTATGTTGAACGAGTATACATTGTTGTGTTTCATGCTATTTTCATTTAGTTTCTTTGTTTGTGGTGCGTTGATTTTTATCGAGAATATATCAAGAATGCTTCTACGAAAGTTGGTCATTTGGGCTACACATATATTCATCCTGGCCCCCTATAGAGGTGTGCGTGGTGCCTAAAAAAACTTTAGTCAAGCGTCGTATCTCAAAACGCGCAGTTTAGATTGAGACAGATGGAGTAGCTCATTTCTTTTAACTGTGCAACATTGCTAGTCTTCATCATCGACAATCAACCACTATAGATCATTTCTTCGTTGTCCCATATCCCTCTCTTTCTATCCAAAAAATTATGAGCGTACATAACAGTCGTCGTCTCTTATCACCCTCTCTCCAAAAAATGTATGTGTTTGATCGAAGAACTAAAAAGCCATGAAATTGTCTATATTTTTTTGCGGTTCAACTGAATGCAAAGTGATAGTAAAGGAACTTCTTGTCGTCTCTCTAATCGCTAGAGGCAAATCCTCAGGAAAAACTCAACAACGTATTCTCAAACTTGTTCATAATGTTACAAAGATTTGTCTCTCCTTCTAGTCGCCATTCTCAGAAAAGTGTTTCCACCAACTCTGTTTCAATGCTTGTGCTTCAAGCTGCTCCTCGTTTCCATAATATGTTGTTACCCCATTTGTCCCGTTTGAATCTTCTCAGTTTGACTTTCAGAATCAACCTTTTTAAACTTTAAATACAAATTATAGAAAAATACATTAACTATGATATAAATAAAATATCAATTAGTTCATTTTGAAACATAGTTTTGAAATACTATATTTTTATAATATATATCTATCTATATATAAAAATATATATGATCAAAGTTTTGCATTAGAGACTGAAAAGTCGAATGAAAAAACATTCAAAAAGAACGAAAGACCATATATATATACTTTTCTTGTTTTATTTAGTATTCCTACTTTAGTTAGGAATCCTTATGTATTTTCTATCGGTGGGGTTCTAGTGAAACAAGAGTACGGTGACACTCTGGTGCCACTGTCATTTTGGGGCACTTTCGGTGCTCTGTTTGCAAAATCGATGGTTCCTACCTTCCTTACCACCCCCTACATCCCTCACCCAAGCCCCACCATTGCCCCCCCAAGCCCCCCTAAAAATGTGTGACAATTATGCATACCCCAAAATGGAATAGGAACCATCAATTTTGCAAAAGAGCACCGGAAGTGCCCTAAAATGGCGAGTGTCATCCGTTGACACTAGATTCCAGTGTCAACAAACCCACCCATTTTTTATATCTACTAGTACAATCTTCATGATTAAAATAAGATAAATTCTTTCGTGGACCTAAAAAATGGGTGGGGTTTCGTTGACACTAGAATCCAGTGTCAACGGATGACACTCGCCATTTTAGGGCACTTTAACATCTATGTTTATCTTATGGACCTTAGTGTATTTTGCAACATAAAAGAAGTGGGTATTTTACAAAATATAAAATATCCTCATGCAAGCCCATGAAAGATGTGAGAATGTCCATATTTGATTCCATGAAAGATGTGATAGTGTCCATATTTTAAATGTGAAACTTAGGACCATATAAGCATTACTCATTAAAAAAACCGATCAATAAAAATAATATGAAATACAAGCATGCAACTAGAAATAGTTTATCACACATCTCACCAATTTATTTCATAACGAGACTTTCATATTATCACATATATGAAATTCATTTTTAATAACGTATGACTTCATATATGTTTATGAAATTGGCACAATTGTAATCACACCATAATTAAAACAAAATCATGAAAACATTTAAATTTTAGCCTTATTTATTATTATTATTATTAGTCATCACTCTTTTTTAAGCTAGCTAATCTAAGAGGTGGCCACATGGTTGACTGATGAGTTGGCTTTAGCTTCACTACTCTTGAAGAAAAATTGGGCCGGTTCAAGACCCAACCCGATACCCAAACGGTTGTACCCAAAGTCCGGTATAAGCCCAATTGCGTAACAAATGGGTATCCGCGGTATAGGAATTACCACGCAATAAATCATCTTATATCCAAACCCAACCCTCTGGGCCTGAAATTGGACTTTGGTACCCTTCGGATCCGTCGTGACGAATTTCTGGATCGGAGAATGGGCCTCCGTTAAAGCCCAAACAGCCGTTTCGTTGCTACGGTTTCCCTTGACGGGAAACTTAACGTTGTAAACCGTGTTCTCCCTGACGACCGGATCTTCCGTGTCGTCGGCGGCGGCGGAGAACACGACGGGGAATCCGAGGAGAGGTTCGTCTGGAAAAGGCGTGCACTGAACGACGTCGTGTGGGTGCGCGCTGGATTGGTTGTTCTGGACGTTGACTAAGCATAGACCCTCCGGGTGGGGTAAAGCTTGGGAGATGACGTAGTAGGCGGCGCCGAGTTTGAGCTCTTTGCCGTCGACGTCGACCACCGGAGGGGAAGTCGGAAACCGCCGTGGGGAGACAATGGGGGCGGAGGATAAGAAGAGGAACAAAAGAGAGGTGAAGAAATATAGCATGAGAGCCTTCATTTTTTTTGGAATGGTGAGTAATTTGGTAACCTATGAACTTTACAACGTAGGAGTTCTTATACCGGACACTCCTGAGACCCAGTATTAAGTATCTTTTCGTGGCTAAGCAAAAAAGAAAATACCTCAGCCAAATAAATTTTTTAATATATATTAATATAAAAAAGATATCATCAAATTTATTATATTAAAAAAAAATTTGTGAGGGGGGGGGGG